TTGAAAATAGTTTTGCATACAGAAAAAACCTTAGGAAATTTGCTTACTTTCTCATTGATATCGAAATGAAATCCTCAAAAGAAATAGAGTTGTACACAAGCTGATTATACGTCTTATTCTCACTGGGACTCTGATACTCATTATCATTGTGAACAAGTCCAGTATGGGGATTTCACATAATCCTTCATTTGCTCATCTAAATTATTTTTGTTAAAACAGAATTATGATATTTTTCTCCTTCAAATGGATCATTAAATGTATATGGTAAAATCATTTCTGATAAATTGAATTTTGTTATTTCTATTATTTTTTTATTTAAGGTGTTTTTTTTTTTATTTTTATTTTTTTTTAATTTTTTTTCAACGCTTATTTATTTTTTGGGACAGAGAGAGACAGAGCATGAACGGGGAGGGCAGCAGAGAAAGGAGGCACAGAATCGACAGGCTCCAGGCTCTGAGCCATCAGCCTCAGAGCCGACGCTGCTCAACTCACAGAGACAGATCGGACCTGGCTGAAGTCGCTTAACGAATACGCACCTGTCTCGGATATGTTTTAAAAGCTCGTCCAGGACCCATGGACAGAAAGAGCTGCCGTATTTTGTCATATTAAAAAAATTTTTTTAATGTATTTTTGAGAGAGAGTAAGAGAGTGCATGCGTGCACACATGTAGGGAGGGAGAGGGAGACACAGAATCCAAAGCAGGCTCCAGGCCCTGAGTTGTCAGCACAGGAGCTCTGCTACAAATCCACAGACGTGAGATCACTAGACGAAGTTAGACTTGTAATCGACTGAGCCACCCAGGCACTCCACGATTTTTTTTTTTTTTTACATTTATTCACGTTTGAGACAGGAGAGACAGAGCAGAAACAAGTGGGGGAGGGCAGAGAGAGAGGAGCACACAAAATAGGCTCCAGGCTGCCTGAGCACAGAGCCCAGGGGCTCTCAACTCACGAATCCAGATACATGACCCGAGCTGAAGTCAGAGGCTTAACCGACTGAGCCACCCAGGCGCCCCAAATTTTGTTATTTTTAAATAGTCTTTTTAGAACGTTCAACAAAACAGGTCTTTTCAGTAATAAATTTAAGTTTGCATTTGCATATTTGGGTCATCACCTTGTAATTCCAGTGTAATAGAGATTTATATAAAGGAAAATAAGTCATCTGTTAGTCTGAACTGTCTTATGCACAAGCCAAGCCAAAAAGAGACTTTATTTTAGTTATATAATAGTTGTAATTTTCTACCCTCTCTTTCTGAATAGGACTTAAATATTTAAATGGGACAACATTTGAGAGGACCTATTGAAGTGTTCTTTGTAATTTGATCCAGTGTTAAATGTACCTTTTGGAGTTTTTTTTTTTTTCCTCCAAAAATAATCATAATAACAACTGACACGTGATTTTTACTTTGATACAGGTTATTTCGATGCACACTGACTAGCATTCCTCAGACTCAGGCCTTATTGAATAAAGCCAAACTTCCTTTGGGACTGCTGCTTCATCCTTTCAAAGACCTAGTGGTATGTTTCACTAGTGAAAGTAAATGTTTTATGGGAAATTAACTTGATGGTGAGGAATTTTCTACAGTAATGCAAGAATCACTTGTAGAATTTATTTGAGCTATCTTTAGGAATTTGACCACTGACAGGTTCTTTTATTTGTAATTCAACCAGCACTTTTATTACCAAACACTTGAAAATGAGGTAAAATAAGTTGAATTTTAAAAAAATTCAAGAGGGACTAAATAGAAGTACTAAAAGAAAATAAATAAATCAACCATGCTATTTTAAAAAGTTGTAAATTATTTGCCCATTTAAAATACTTTACCCAGTCTTCCAGTTCTGCCATTCTGGGAGTAAATTTGTTCCTTGAGGAAGCTGTTCCCTCTGCTAAAAGGGAAAAACGAAGATGTCCACTTTTATCCTAAGGCTCTGAGACCTTGACATATGGACCTTGACGTTTTTCAGAGGATTAATACATAAGTGAAGTAACTTTCCCAAAACGAACTTATATTCAGGCTTTAGAACTTTTAATATGTAGGATAAACTTTAAGTAGGAGCATAATTGGAGAGTTTGAGTATTTAAATATAATTTACTCTTACCTTACTTTGTCACAGTAATTTTATGAGAACTTGGTAAGCCTCTTAATGTAATATGAAGAAATCCTAATAATTTCCTTGGTCATTTCATTGATCTTAGAATGTTGATCCTTACTTTACCATCCATGTGAAAAATACACTGGATATTTACTATGTTTGATTTATAATATAAATACGTAATGAGAAAATAAATACTTAAAAATTTTTTTAATGTTTATATATTTTTGAGAGAGAGAGAGACAGAGAGCGAGCAGGGGAGGGGCAGAGGGAGAACGGGAGACACAGAATCTGATGCAGGCTCCAGACTTCAGGCTCTGAGCTGTCAGCACAGAGCCTGACGTGGGGCTTAAACTCACCAGCTGCGACATTATGACCTGAGCTGGAGTTGGATGCTTAACTGACTGAGCCTTCCAGACACCCCAAAATAAATACTTGTTAAAGGAAGAATTTAATGAGAATGCTGCTGAAACAAACCAGTAGTTTTTAAAATTAGTACATTTCATCTACATAATTTTTTTGTGTGGCAGTTTGAACACTTCTTTTTACCTTTGTTTTTTTCTCCAAAATTATAGTATTCCAGAAGTTACCTGGAAGGTATGGATTAATGTTTGGCCTTTAGACGTAATGATCACTCCCTTTAAAAAATTTGTTTTGTTTTTCTAGCAATTGCCTGTGGTTACCTCCAGTACAATTGTGAGATGCCGCTCATGCAGGACGTACATCAACCCTTTTGTCAGCTTTCTTGATCAAAGGAGATGGAAGTGTAACTTATGTTACCGAGTCAATGATGGTATGTTCTGGTTTTTTTTTTTTTTTTTTTTTTTGAAACTTTTTCAAATTTCTCCTTGCATTGTAGGGAAAGCCAATAAGACAAATGTAAAGTTAAAAAAAAACAAAAACACAACCCCAAACCCTTTCTTACTTAACCTGTAATCCTTCCACTCAGACATAACTTCCATTAACTTTTTTCTGTGCATTTATACTTATATATAAAAAATTGTATACTTTTTGAACAAAAAGTGTGATAATATTCTGATACCGTTTTTTTACATTTATTATATTGGGTATATAATAAATGGCATATTTCATGGTATTATTTAAGCCTATAATTTAAGAAATATTTTTATTTAGAAACTGTCCCATGCCTTTTCTCTAGGGTGAAAGAAATAAGTCCACAGAATAGCTGCCATTAGCTTCATTCACTGCAATAAGGAGGGAAGTGGGCAGTGCTAGAAGGTTAGTTGAATGTAGTTTTTTCAGTAATTGAGGAAGAGGAGATCTCTTTCAGAAGCTGTTAACAGTTTATATTTAAGGAATTTCATCTAACCAGTAACATTTTATTAGGATTAGAGAAGAAAAAGGGTATGCTGCTATCCACATTGAAAATTAGGTCTCTGGTGTACCTGGCTGGCTTAGTCAGTAGAGCATGTGACTCTTGATCTCAGGGTCATGAGTACAAGCCCCATGTTGGCATAGAGCTTACTCAAAAAAAAAAAAAAAAAAAATTAAAAGTAAAAAAAAGAAAATTAGGTCTCTGGAAGGAAATTTCATTTAGTATTGGCAAATGGAGAATTTAAGAGATTTTTTAAAACCATTTTTATTGTTTATATTATTTAAGAGTAAAGGGAGGATAGTGTAAGAATGTTATTTTTATTCTCTAATAATTCAGAAAATGTATTTATAGTATTTAGTATGTCTTTAAAATCTTATGTATATGGGCTTCATTATGTGAAATAAAATTATAATAAAGGTAGAAGTTACTTTAGTATGCAGCCCAGACCATTTCATGAACTATGGCTTACCCTTTAACATATGTAGGAATTTGAGTTTCTAAATAGTTAATGGGAAGACAGGTGCAATGATAATTTAGAAAATATTCTTTGAGCTCTAGTGTATAGGCAACTGATGTTCCATAAAGGCCTCATTAATTAATGGAAGTGACCGAACTGTTAGACTTCATTTAGCTTTAGCCTCTCAGGTATTTGTGCCATAGTTTTCAAGGGGCAGCTGAAAGCTATGGGGCAGCCAGAGGCTGTACATTTCATGTCAGTGTTAATACTCGCGTATGGTTATGAAATTTAACACAAGATTTTGTCTCACATGTAAGAAAATAATTAGTATTCATTGAATTTTTATCATTCTTTTAAGCTGTTTTAGGAAAGCAGCTTTAGTGAGAATTGAGACAGTGTAAATTAGAAGGTAGGAAAAGAAATATCACAGTGATAGTAGCTGTAAAATCATACTTAGTACTATTAAGTATGGGGGAAACTTGAATAGAACTCAAAAACAAAGTGTATTTATCCTTTAATTTTTAGTCCATATTGGCTTATTTATAAATCTTCAAAATAAGAAAACAGCTAAATACAAGATAAATTGACCTTAATCCTTTCAGTTGTATCATTGTATGTTGTTAACTTACATAGTTCCTGAAGAATTCATGTACAACCCTTTGACCAGAGTCTATGGAGAACCTCACAGAAGACCTGAAGTTCAGAATGCTACTATTGAGTTTATGGCTCCTTCAGAATACATGGTAAGCTAGCTTGCTTGCTTGCTTCCTTCCTTCCTTTCTTATTTTTTTAGAGAGATTAAGCTATTGCGCACATGGTGGGAGGGACAGAGAGAGAAGGAGAGAGAATCCCAAGCAGACTCCACACTGTCAGTGCAGAGCCCAACGTGGGGCTTGATCTCACAAACCATGAGATCATGACCTGAGCCAAAACCAAGAGTAGGACGCTTAACCAACTGAGACACCCAGGCACCCCGCTTTCATTTTTTTTTTTTTTAACTTTGCAGGTTTTTTTTTTTTAATTTTATTTTTTATTTTTTAAAATTTATATCCAAATTAGTTAGCATCTAGTGCAACAATGATCTCAGGAGTAGATTCCTTAGTGCCTCTTACCCATTTATTTATCCCCCACAACCCCTCCAGTAACCCTCAGTTTGTTCTCTGTATTTTATTTTATTTTATTTTATTTTATTTTATTTATTTTATTTTTTATTTTAAAATTTTTTTAACATTTATTTATTTTTTGGACAGAGACAGGAAGGCATGAACGGGAGGTCAGAGGAGACACAGAACCTGAAATAGGCTCCAGGCTCACAGGCTGTCAGCACAGAGCCCGACGCGTGGGCTTGAACTCACGGAGTGCGAGATCATGACCTGAGTGAAGTTAATAAAAGTTACTAACTGACTGAGCCACCCAGCTCTGCCTGTTCTCTGTATTTAAAAAAAAAAATTTTTTAACGTATTATTTTTTGAGACAGGGAGAAAACAGCATGAACAGGAGGGTCAGAGAGGAGACACCTGATGAACAGGCTCCAGGCTCTGAGCTGTCAGCACAGAGCCTGACGGGGCTTGAACTCAAACCGTGAGATCATGACCTGAGCCAAAGTGTAGCCGGATACTTAAACTGGGCAGCCACCCAGGTTTCCCTCTCTGTATTATGAGTCTCTTCTGTTTTGTCCCTCCTCTTTTATATTATTTTGTTTCCTGGTGTTCACCTGTTTGTCTCTCCCAAAGTCCTCATATGAGTGAAGTCATGATTTTTGTCTTTCTCTGACTGACTAATTTCAATTAGCATATAATATCCTCCAGTTCCATCTATAGTTGCAAAATGGCAAGATTTCATTCTTTTTGATTGCCAAGTAATACTCTATTATGCAGGAGTATATATATTCTCTATTATATTGTATGCATAATATATACACTGACAAATGTATATTATATGTATGTTGGGCACACACACACACCACACACATACATGTCACACATCTTCTTTTATCCATTCATCCAAATACATCGGACATTTAGCTCTTTACATACGCTTTGATTTTATTATTGTCGATAGTGTTGGCTTTTATGTAAACATTGTGGTTGTGTGTCACTTGAAACAACACCTGTCTAGATCCCTTGGGTAAATGCCTAGTAGTGCAATTGCTGGCTGGATCGTGGGAGTAGTTCTATTTTGCCCAGTTTTTTTGAGGAACCTCCGTGACATATTTGAGGTGCACCAGTTTGCATTCCCAACCCTGCTTTCATTTTTTATATGTTATTGTATAAAATTATATAAATAATATATTTTTATATAGTATATTACTTAGTACTAGATTTTAAATAAAACACTGTGTCATCTTTTACCAAAATTGTATGCTTTTAAATTTTATATGTTATACTTGTTCATTATAAATGTAGTTAAGTATACAGGGGTAAATTTGAAAAGTAAAAGTGTAAAGTTTCACTTATATTTCTTGTGCATCAATCCAGAAATTTACAATATAATATTGGGATCATGTTTACTTTTAAGTCACTTCCAACTTTTTCCTAATAATGCCATGATAAACACTCTTTCGCAAGTACTATTATACATTTGTATGAATATCTAAAGTCTTGCATTTTTAAAATAATAATTATGCCCAAGGTTAAATTAGCACTTTACATTTTACAGAATACTTACATTTAAAAACAATTTCTTTAGTGTTTTATTTATTTTTGAAAGAGACAGAGTGCTAGCAGGGGAGGGGCAGAAAGAGAGGGAAACAGAATCTGAAGGTGGCTCCAGGCTCTGAGCTGTCAGCACAGAGCCTGAAGCAGGGCTTGAACCCACGAACAGTGAGATCATGACCTGAGCCGTAGTTGGACGTCCAGTGGACTCAGCCATCCAGGCGCCTTAGCACTTACACATTTAAAAAAATTTTTTTGACGTTTATTTATTATTGAGAGACAGAGAGACACAGAGTGTGAGCAGGGGAGGGGTAGAGAGAGGGGGAGACACAGAATCCGAAGCAGGCTCCAGGCTCTGAGCTGTCAGCGCAGAGCCCGATGCGGGGCCCGAATTCACAAACCACGAGATCATGGCCTGAGCCGAAGTCGGTCGCTTAACCAACTGAGCCACCCAGGCGCCCCAGCACTTAGGTATTTTTGATCATCATAAACAACAGTCTGAAATAAGCTAGGTGAATGTTGTTCCTGTCTGTAAGGTAGGAAAACAAACTTCGGTTAAGTGACTTCCTAAATACCATTTAAGTAAGTGGGAGAGCTTGCATAAAAATCCATGGCTTTGATTTGGTTACTATTTCACCATGCCATAATTTTCTCTAAATAAAGGGAATATTAAGATAAGACTTAACATGAACTTTTAGTATTTTATTTTACCTTGTTATATTTTTGTAGGGTAATCTCCCTCTATTTGGGCAGTGGACACCATTTTGGTATAGAAATTATGAGGGTGCATTTTCTTTTCATCACAGAAAAGTTCAGTGTAGAAGACAGTTTTGTGACATTTAAATGGTCAGTAATGGGGTGCCTAGGTGGCTCACTTGGTGGAACACCAACTTTGGCTCAGGTCATCATCTTGCGGTTTGTGAATTCGAGCCCTGCATTGGGCTCTGTGCTGACAGCTAGGAGCCTGAAACCTGCTTCAGATTCTCTCTCTCTCTCTCTCTCTCTCTCTCTCTCTCTCTCTCTCTCTCTCTCTGCCCCTCTCCTGCTCATGCTCTCTCAAAAATAAACATTAAAAAAATTAAGAAATAAAAAACAAATGGTAATAGTTTTCTGTAGTGTAGCTGTGTCTGTTGAATTCAAGCCAAAAAATCAGAAGCCTCTGTTCTTTTGAATTGCCCTCCCTAGGGCTCTTTTGTCTCCCAGGTTTTACAAAAGTGGCTTCCTTTAAATTTGTAAACTTGCTTATTGTAAGATGTTTTGCTCCTTCGTCACTTATCTCATAGGTGAGAGATGCTATGGATTTGGCAAGTGATCTGTGCATAAAAATATAAAAGTTAGTATACCACATGCCCAGTTCTCATTGTGGTTTTTTGATGCTTTTTAGTGAATTGAAAACAAATCTTTAACTTTGGAATTTTTTATTTTATTCTATTCTATTCTCTTTTAAATGTTTGTTTATTTTTGAGAGATGGCACACACGAGCAAGAGAGGGGCACAGAGAGAGGGAGAGAGAATTTCAAGCGGTGCTTGATCTCACTGTGAGATCATGACCTGAGCTGAAATCAAGAGTCAGATGTTTAACCAACTGTGCCACTCAGGCACCCCTAAATTTGGAATTTTAAAATATAGTTGTACTTTTTTATGGATTTTAGCTGAAATGCATTGGTTAAGGAACCAGCTCAGGCTCACTTGAGAAATGAAGTCACAGCTATAATTTCCCTATATTGTGAAATATTGTGTACATATGGAAAAGTCTGTAAAACATAAGTGTGTAGTTTACCAAATAATAAACACCTGTGTTAGTACCACCCAAGTCAGAATTGAGCATTGCCAGTACTCCCAGAATGCCTTCTGATCACATTTTCTTTTCTTCCTGTCCTAGAGAAAAACTCTTCTAAGGGCAATCACATCTTCATTTTGTGTTTTATAAGTATGTGTCTCAAAAAAATAAAGTTTTGCCTGTTTTTAAAATTCTTGTTATTTTTGTATTGTTTTCTCAATCCATTATTGTTTATAATTGTCTTAATCTATAGATAATGTTTGTTGTTTTGCTGTAAGTGGGCCAGACAGATGATAAGTTTAGATTTAATCCTTTGAAATGATTTATTGAGATCTTTCTTTTCTTCAGTTACGACCACCTCAACCTCCAGTGTATCTCTTTGTGTTTGATGTATCTCACAATGCCGTTGAAACTGGATACTTGAATACAGTTTGCCAGAGTTTGTTAGACAATCTGGATTTGTAAGTATCTTAATTCATCTTAAATTTGAAACTAGCAAAATGAATAAGTAGTGTCAAAATAGAAAAAATGCTATATAATTGTGTTCTAAAACTCCATAAAATTGATTCGTTAACTTTAGATCTCACTTTCTCTGAGAAACATAAATTTATTTTAACTTAAAAAAAAATATTTATTCATTTTGAGAGAGAGTGTGAGTGGGGGAGGGGGAGAGAGAGAGGGGACAGAGGACCCAAAGCTGGTTCTGTGCTGACAGCAGCAAGCCTGGTGTGTGGCTGAAACCCACGAATCATGAGATCACGACCTGAGCTGAAGTCAAACCGTCAACCGACTGAGCCACCCAGGTGCCCCTTACTTTTTTTAAATGAAAAAATTTCAAACATGTAGTAAATAGAAAGAATGTAGTGAACTTCCAGGTACTTATCCCTCACCTTCAATATTTTTATTTTTATTTTATTTTATTTTTTTTTAAATTTTTTTTTTTCAACGTTTATTTATTTTTGGGACAGAGAGAGACAGAGCATGAACGGGCGAGGGGCAGAGAGAGAGGGAGACACAGAATCGGAAACAGGCTCCAGGCTCTGAGCCATCAGCCCAGAGCCTGATGCGGGGCTCGAACTCACGGACCGCGAGATCGTGACCTGGCTGAAGTCGGACGCTTAACCGACTGCGCCACCCAGGCGCCCCATCACCTTCAATATTTTTAGCGTTCATCTGTTCTTGCTTCATCTAATTCCTCCCATACATAAACACTTTTTTCCCCTTGAGTATTTTTACTCAAACCATAGTCAGCATATCCTTTTAACTATAAGTACTTAGAATTATTTTTAACCCTAAGATTCAAGTATTACACTATACAAAATTAGCAATAGTTCCATAATATGAATTAATACCTGGTTCTAGTTTTGGTTGTCTCAGAAATGTCTTTTTACTGTAAGTTTGTTGAAATAAGAATACAAACAGTGTGTACAAGTGGCATTTCATTATCCTATGTCTTAAGTCTCTTAAAATATCTGTATGTTAAATGGTTCCTTAGATACTTAGTGTAACCCATAAAAGCTAGTATGACTTTTCAGTGTAATGAAACAAAGTGCTCTTGTGTTGTGTGGAAGAATGTGAAGTATCAAATCATATCAGAAGTGGACTACTAAGTCCTTCACCTTGGTGAAAGGAGCCTCCTTGTTCTTGTTCTGGCATTTTTTTTTTTTTAAGTTTATTTACTTGTTTTGAGAGAGAGAGTGTGTGCAGGAGCATGTGCAGAAGGGGCACACAGAGAAGGAGCGAGAGAATCTCAAGCAGGCTCTTGGCTGTCAGCCCAGAGCCCCATGTGGGGCCTGATCCCATGACCCTGGGATCATGACTGGAGCCGAAATCGAGAGTTGAATGCTTAACTGACTGAGCCACCCAGTGTACCCAGTATTTATATTTTTAATTTAGATTGTATATGGGGATTGTCTGTTGATGTGAAACTCCACTGACTCATCTAAGCATGAGCAACAAGAATGAAAACTAGTTTGTCCCTCTCCTTAAGAAACTATAGGTCAACACATTTAAGTTCTTTAAGACAAATCCTCCTGTTGCTCTTTTTTTTTTTTTTTTTTTTTTTTTTTTTTTTTTAAGGTTTATTTACTTTTGAGAGAGAGTGAACAGGGGAGGGACAGAGAGAGTAGGGGATAGAGAATCTGAAGTGGGCTCAGTGCTTACAGCAGAAAGCCCGATGCAGGGCTTGAACTCAAGAACCGTGAGATCATGACCTTAGCTGAAGTCAGACACTCAACAGACTGAGCCAGTGAGGTGCTCCTTACTGCTCTTCTTAAGACAAACAACATAAGAAGAGATTTGGGTAACCTTTAAAAACTTTTTTTAGTGTTTTTATTATTTTTGAGAGAGAGAGACAGACAGAGTGCAAGTGGGGGAGAGGCAGAGAGGGAGACACAGAATATGAAGCAGGGTCCAGGCTCTGAGCTGTCAGCCCAGAGCCTGACGTGGGGCTTGAACTCATAGCTGTGAGATCATGACCTGAGCCAAAGTCGGACGCTTAACCAGCTGAGCCACCCAAGAGTCCTTGGGTAAACTTTTAAAAGAAGTGCAGTACTTAATTTATATTTTGGAATTACCATTTATGGTAATTTTTTAAAATTATTTTTGATAAATTAAAATCATCTACAAAGTTTTCACTACAAGAACATGAAAAGTTTTGTATACACTTTCAAGTATTTTTTATCTGCCATTTCCTGTGTGACTTATTTAACTTCATATAGGTGTAATGAGTTTTGGATTGCTTTATTATTGCTTGGTTTTGTTGATTGTTTGGCTTCTGCAGTGTTTTCACTTTGTGCAGGGTATGTTTTCATGCTAATTAAACATTGAATGGGTTGAACATTTATGTTGGGACACTTCCCATAATACCAAAGTAGTTATTTGCATGTTAACTCTTCACAGATATTATATATATATATATATATGTATATATATATATTTATATGGGAAAACTTGATGAAATCCTCTTCTGAATTTGTTTATAGGCTTCCTGGCAATACTAGGACAAAAATTGGCTTCATTACGTTTGATAGTACAATCCACTTCTACAGTCTTCAAGAAGGTCTCTCTCAACCTCAGATGCTAATAGTTTCAGATATTGAAGGTATATATTATACACTTTAAATTATTGAAATGTCTTAGGAAGTTTCAGTTTTAGAAATATCATGTTATATAGTGTATACGATATGACTCTATTATATTGAGGGAAAAGACCTGGAGTATAAAATGATAAGCTTGTTGGAATTGTAAGAGTCCTTCAGTCTAATCCCTCCTTTACAGAAGAGGAAACAGTAATAGAGGTAAAGTGAATTCTGGACAAGGCAACAAAAACAAGTTAATGTTCAAACTCAGATTAAATGTAGGTTTCTTTTTCCCTCATTCATTCATTCATTCGTTCATTCAAAAAGTATTTGAGAATAGACATATAAGAGTAATGGAATAGAATAGAGGGCCCAGGAATAAACCCTCACATATATGGTGAATTGATTTTTGACATGGAAACCAAGGCCATTCAATAGGGAAAAAACTGTCTTTTCAACAAATGATTCGGAGGAAAATGAGCATGCAAAAGAATGAAGTTGGACCCTTACTTAAAACATATAAAAAAAAATGGATCAAAGATCTAAACTCAAGGGCTAAAACTATAAAACTCTTAAAAGAAAACAGAGGAAAATCTTTATAACATTGGGTTTGGCAGCGATTACCTGGGTATACATCAAAAGTAGAGGTAACAAAAAATAAATTGAACTTCATGAACACTAAGACCTTTTGTACATCAAAGAACATTTTCAAAAGAGTGAAAAGAGGACTCACAAAATTGGCAAAAATATATGCAGATCATATGAATGATGCAGGATCAATATCTAGAACATGTAAAGAACTCCTCAACTCAATGATTAAAAAAAATGGCACAGTTCAAAAATGGGCAAAGGACTTAAATGGACATTTCCCCAAAGAAGATACATGAATGGTCAATAAGCACATGAAAAGAAAAATGCTCAACATCATTAGTCATTAGAGATATGCTTCTCAGCAATAGCCAAACTACAGAGAGCCCAAATGTCCATTGACTGCTAAATGGATAAGGAAGATGTGCAATGTATATACAGTGGAATATTATTATCCATCAAAAAGAATGAAATCTTTCCATTTGCAATGATGTGAATGGAGCTAGAATGTGTGATGCTAAGCAAAATAAATCAGAGAAAGACAAATACCTTATGATTTCACTCGTGGGAATTTAGAAACAAAACAGATGAACATACGGGAATGGGGGGAAGAGAAGAGAGGGAGACAAACCATAAGAGACTCTTAATGATAGAGAACAAACTATGGGTTGACAGAGGGAAGTGGGTGGGTGATTGGCTAGGTGGGTGATGGGTACTGAGGAGGGCACCTGTTGTGATGAGCACTAGGTGTTGTATGTAAAGTGACAAGTCAATAAATTCTCCTAAAACCAATATCGCACTGTGTTAACCAAGTAAAATTAAATAAATAAACAAACAAACCTCTCAAAACCAAAAGAAAAAAAAAGAAACACGAATCACAACCACAGTGAGATACAATTTCACATCCATTACAGTGGCTATTATCAAAAAAATAGGACATGATAAGTTTTGACAAAGATGTGGAAACCCTGGAACTGTCATGCATTACTGATGGGAATGTAAAATGGTACAGTGCTATGGAAAACAGTTTGGCAATTCCTCAAAAAAGTTAAACACATAGTTGTCATTATGATGTAGCAGTTCTACTCCCAGTATATACCTAAAATAATTGAAAGCAGGCTCAAACCAATACTCATACCAAGGTTCATAGCAACATTATTCACAGTAGCCAAATATGTAAACAATTCAAGTATCCATCAACAGATGAATGGATAAACAGTGTGGTATATACATATACTCAAGAATGAAATTCTGTTGCATGCTATAACACGGATGAACTTTGAAAACATGCGAAGTAAAGTAAGTTAGGTGCAAAAGCACAAGGATCGTATGATTCTGCTTATATGAGATACTGAGAATAGGCACATTCATGGAGATAGAAAGTAGAGTACAGGTTACCAGGGGTTAAGGAGTTACTATTTAGTGAGTACAGAGTTTGCGATGATGTAAACAGTCTGAAAATACATAATGGTAATGGCTATACAACATTGCGAATGTATGTACACTTAAAAATTGTACACTTAAAAATGGTTAAGTTGAGGGATGCCTGGCCGGCTCACTTGGTAGGGCATGTGACTCTTGACCCCATATATTGTGTATATTTCATAACCACAGTTAAGAAAAATTAACTCAAAACTCATAGACTGGAGTGTGAGATTAAATTTTTTTTTTAATGTTTATTTATTTTTGAGAGACAGAGGGCATGAGCGGGGAGGAGCAGACAGAGAGGGAGACACAGAATCTGAAGCAGGCTCCAGGCTCTGTGCTGTCAGCACAGAGCCCGATGTGGGACTTGAACTCATGAACTGTGAGATCATGACCTGAGCAGAAGTCAGATGCTTAACTGACTGGGCCACCTAGGCGCCCTTTGAGTATGAGATTAAAATAGAAGAAAACAGAAGTAAATCTTTGTGACCTTGGATTGGTTGATTTCCTAGGTATAACACCAAAAGCACAAACAACAAAAAATAGAAAAATAGAAAAAATAGAAAAAATAGGCTGGCTGGCTCAGTCGGTAGAGCATTCAACTCTTGATCTCAGGGTCATGAGTTTGAGCCTCACATTGGATGTAGAGATTAGTTTGAAAAAAGAGAGAAAAGGATAAATTTGATTTCTTCAGAAACTTCGTGTTTCAAAGGATACCATCAAGAAAGTGAAAAGACTGTCCACAATATGAGAAAATATTTGCAAATCATATGTCTGATCAGGAATTTATATTGAGATTGTGTAAAGAAGCCCTACAACTTAACCTGAAAAGGACATCTTGATTAAAAAGTGAGCAAAATATTTGAATAGACCTGTCTCTATTCAATACACAGTGTTCAATGGCCAATAAGCACTTGAAAAGATGCTCCATATCCTAAATTATCAGGGAAATACAAATGAAAACCACAATGAAATGCTACCTTACACTGACTAGGAAATTCAGAACTCAATTTTTTTTTTTGCTGCTGTCAGCATGTCTATGAATGTCCATAGAAGCATCATGAGTATTGGTTTTGTGGTTACAAATAAATTTTACTGAGTAGGCAAATTGGCAAATATAGAATCCATGAATAGTGAGGATTCACTGTACATCTTTAAAAGGTAGTAGTTGAGGAGAGCTCCCTTCTGTCTTGGTCATTTTAAATCTCACAAAAAATCAGCTTTATTTCCTAACCTGTTTACCCAGATACTTACTGCATTGTTCGCTGAACAGGTGATTCTGATGATGGGCCAAATTGTGAATTCAGTGATGTGGTCCAGCCTCTCAATTTTATACATAAGCTGATAGATGGAATGTCCCTTGCTGTATGTCACATAGCAGGGATTTTAAAAAAGACAGTAACAAATTATTTTCAAGAAAGTGGAGAAATTACAACTCTCATATACTGCTGTTTGGAATGGAAAATGTTGCAGCCACTACAGAAAACAGTCTGTCACTTCCTCCAGAAGTTAAACATAGAGTTACCATATGATCCAGCAATTCTACTCAATATTTATATACTCAAGAAAATTAAGACTGTGCATGTGAATGTTCATAGCAACATAGCCAAAAAAGTAGAAACAACCCTAATATCCATTAGTTGATGAATGTGTAAACAAAAAAAGTATCTATACAATGAAATATTTGTCAATGAAAGAGAATAAAGTACTGATAGATGCTACCACATGGGCGAGCCTTGAAACCATTTTGTTGTGTAAGAAGCCAGTCACAAAGGACCTCATAGTGTGACTTTGTTAGTACGATGTGTCCAGCGTACACAAATCCAGAGACAGACTGGCAGCTGCCTAGTGCTGTGAGAGTTGTCAGGGTCATGAAGAATGGCGGCTAAGTCATGTGGCATTTCTTTTCGGGATGATGAGAAGGATCCGGAATTACTGGTGATGGTTGTGTAATTTTGTGAACATATTAAAAAATTACTGAATTGTATCTTCTACGAGGGTGAATTCTATGTTTTATGAATTGTTTTTTTTTTTTATATTACGTTTCTTTATTATTTTTTTTTTTTAAATTTTTTTTTTTTTCAACGTTTATTTATTTTTGGGACAGAGAGAGACAGAGCATGAACGGGCGAGGGGCAGAGAGAGAGGGAGACACAGAATCGGAAACAGGCTCCAGGCTCTGAGCCATCAGCCCAGAGCCCGACGCGGGGCTCGAACTCACGGACGGCGAGATCGTGACCTGGCTGAAGTCGGACGCCTAACCGACTGCGCCACCCAGGCGCCCCACGTTTCTTTATTTTTGAGAGGCAGAGAGAGACATAGTGCAAGTGGGGGAGGGGCAGAGAGAGGCAGACACAGAATCTGAAGAAGGCTCCAGGCTCTGAGCTGTCAGCACAGAGCCCGACGCGGGGCTCAAACTCACGAACTGTGAGATCATGACCTGAGCCAAAGTTGCACACTCAACCAACTGAGCCACCCAGGCGCCCCCATGTTTTGTGAATTGTATCTCTGTAAAATTTTTATTAAACGTTTTCTAGTTCTAAAGAAAAAAGAAGAAATCTAAACAGAATTTTTATGTGACAGGTCAAGTAAATAATGTTTCACATTATTTTTATGGTATTACTTTTTACAAAGGTTGTAATGAGCCTTTTTTTAAAAAATCACAAACAGTACCAAAATGTAGAAAGTGAGACTTCTCATAATCCGTCACCACCACCGACATTTCCCTTCCCCATTTGCTCCCTTTTTAAGGAAGAGAATTTAATTCCTAAGTAACAATAAATTTGAATCCTGAGGAGCTCATCTGATGTGGTCAGTTAGCCTATCTTCTGATGTAATTGATTTTGTAGTTTCAGAAGTATAGGCACTGGTGGGGGCCTCATTTATGAGAGTATCTCCTTTTTGAATGACAGAGCAGTTGGTGGGCTATGTGACTTCTTTGTAAAGACAGCTTTCTTGTATGTCATCTTATTCAACATTTTTTTTTTTTTAATGATAAGAATGCTGGCTTCCAGGTCTAAGCAAGAATGTAAATTAGCATTCTAAACTGTGTCTTTAACCTAAGAAGCAGAGCACTTCTGCAAACCCTTACTGAGTGCTTATAGATCAATATTTTCTAATATGATCTAATATTTTCTAGGAGGCTGTTTACCTTATACATGGTAACAGATAAGTTGCAGTAAATACCTAAATAAATGCTACTTTGGTGGCTTTTTGAACATGGGTAGACACTGCTGTATATGTAATAGTAGAGAAGGTGGCTTTTCTTTAAATATGGGGGCAGTTAATTGTATCAGTGTTAAGTATTTGGAACATCTTTAACAATTAAGATTTGTTTAAAAGAAATATTTATTTATTTTTCAGATGTTTTTATACCTATGCCAGAGAACTTATTAGTAAATTTAAATGAAAGTAAAGAGGTAAGGCACATTTTCCTATCTGACATACTTAATTATAATATTGAAGGATTATATTTTCAAAATGAACTTTAAGTAAAGTTTTGTTTGTTTCTGAGGTATTTTTAAGACGTGTAACATTTTATATTTGCTGTTAGTTAAAATTCATCAGATGAACAGCTCTTGAGTTTACCCTTGAACTGATGGCTTTTAAGTCTGATATAGCAAGATGCTTGTAATAGGGTAGAAGATAAGCCTATTACATAAAGGAGGAAAACCTGAAGGAAACCTGCCTTGCCAGCCATTTGGGAAATTGGGAGGGTTGCTCAGATAAGCTTCTGGTCACTACATAGAAGCACTTTAGCTAGGCTGCTTTCAGTGCCCTTTGCTTTTCTGATTCACAGAGTGTCATTGGGGTCAGTTCAGAAGAAACTTATTACCTGCCTGGAAATTGCCATGACATAATACAGTGAGAGGTGAACAGAATGTGTCTGAAGGGGGGATGTTGTCTACCCTGTACATGCATATATGCCGTAGGGGTAACATTTTAACTAGCAAGTCTATGGTCTTAGCTGTTGGCAACAGTGACTTCACCATAGTGTGAAGTACATTTTTTCCCTTTGACTCTCCTTATTTGTACAATAAACCTGAATAGGTAGTTGTTTTTCATTTTGTTTTTCTTTTGTAGTGGTATTACTAGTTGGCAAATTTACTGGCTATCTTAGACTTTTCAATAGGGAAGAGTTAAACTTGCTTTGGAACTGAAAAGAATAATGTGTGTAGAGGTGATTGAGAAGGCCATGTTTCATGGCATTAAAATAAAACAAATCTCTAACCTGTGATGGTTCTTTTGGATACATTTTGGACTTATAGTCTTGCTGGACTACTGCATGTGCAAGAACTGTAAGGCCCCAATTTTGATTTGTCTTGCTTGCCAATTTATAATGTTGACTTAAAATGGCTTTCTTGTCATTTGACCAACTTCATTGTTTACTGTACTGTCTGTAGATTCTCTGACCATCATCACAACTCGGTGTCTTGTCTACTGTATTAGTTACTGATTTTTTGTGAAAAAAAATTTTACTTGTAACACCTTTGAGTTTTCTTGCTTTATTTTACAAGCTTGTTCAAGATTTACTGAAAACTTTGCCACAAATGTTCACCAAGACCCTGGAAACGCAGAGTGCCTTGGGTCCTGCACTTCAGGCTGCCTTTAAGCTGATGTCCCCAACTGGTGGTCGAATGTCTGTCTTTCAAACACAACTTCCTACTCTTGGAGTGGGAGCCCTGAGACCGCGAGAGGAGCCCAACCAAAGGTCTTCTGCTAAGGTGAGGGTGTCATCACATGTATGTTACTGTACATGGTGGTGTTCTGCTCTGTCCCTTTGACCACAAAGCTTGTTTCTCATTTACTTTTCAGTTGTGGAGAGTAGGGAGTATAAGGAAATAGATAAAGCATTTCTCTTTTATGTCATAATTTCTATTTTATTACATTTTCTACCTGATTGACTCTTACTTTACTGTTGGATATTTGGCATGCTACTCACAATGCAGCCTGCCTTTGATGAGAAAGTCTGGCAGCTAAGGAATATGCCTTCTAGGGACAAAGTAGAACATGGATAAACACTAAAACGTAGTCATAGTTTGGTATACTGACTGCCATAGAATTGCTTTTAACACCTTGTATGTATAAACTTAATTTGAGATGAGTATTTTTCAAAAGATGATGAGAGTTGCCATGTGCTACAATTATGGTGTCAGTCCTGGAGTCTGTCTCCCTAAATTCTGCTTTTTAGATGTATGAACTTGAGTAGTTAATTTCTTTGCCCTTCTCTTTCCTTATGTTTATTTATAAAGTGAAAATAATGGTAGTTACCTGCTTCTTATAGTAGTTCAAAAGGCTGAATGGATAATACACATGAATTGTTTAGAACCGTTTCCAGCATAGTAAACGTTAAATTGATTACCGAAATTGGCATAATAGGTATACTTCTTTTTAAAAGTAAAACAAAATAGGGGCACCTGGGTGGCTCAGTTAAGCTTCTGACTTCAGCTCTGTCATGATCTCATAGTTTATGAGTTCGAGCTCTGCGTTGGGCTCTCCGTTATCAGCACAGAGCCCACTTCCATCTTCTCTCTCCCTCTCTTTCTGCCCCTCCCCAGCTCACTTTTGCTCGCTTACTTGCTCTCTCTCAAAAGATAAAAAATAAAGGTAAAACAAAGTAGAAAATAGTTAAGCAGTACATGTTTTTTTACTGAAAAAGTGAAAAAATATTACAAAAATAAAGGATTTTTTTAGACTACCCCCCAAGGTTACCTGTTAACATCTTGGTATATATAGACAGATTTTAAAATTTTATGACAATTTAGAGGCACCTGAGTGGCTCATTCAGTTAAGTGTCCTACTCTTGATTTCAGCTTAGGTCATGATCTCACAGTTTGTGCGTGGGTTCAAGCCCCACATTGGGTTCTGTGCTGACCTTGTGCAGCCTGCTTGGAATTCTCTGTCCCTCTCTCTCTGCCCCTCCCCTGCTCCCTTGAGCTCTCCCTTTCAAAATAAATGAATAAATAAAGTTTTAAAAAACATAAAAATTTTATGACAATTTAATTTAAAATTTTTCTTTATATAATTTATTATTAATAGGAAATTCACTTGACACCATCCACTGACTTCTATAAGAAATTAGCCTTGGATTGTTCTGGTCAGCAGGTAGCCGTTGACTTATTTCTTCTTAGTGGACAGTATTCTGATTTGGCTTCTCTGGGTAAGTTCTTCCTCATGACTATTTTTTTTCAAATGAATGTGAAAATGGTATTTATATGATAATATTCCAAATAGAGGACAAAGTGAAGGGATTTTTATTCCTTTGGGAGAGTTAATCAGTCTACTATAAACCTTTTGGTCTTCTACTCTAAATATTTATAATAGAGACTTTTTTATACTATTTAAAAGAATGAAATTTTCTTTTCTGATAATACTTTGGGAGGCTAAGGAAGAATTGATTCAAATACCAGTAGTTTTTTTGGTGCAGTCATAGCACTTAATGGCAGGATTTTTTAAAAGTGTGTGTTCTCTTCCAGGTTGTATTTCTCGGTATTCAGCAGGTAGTGTCTATTACTATCCCTCTTACCACCATCAGCAGAACCCAGTGCAAGTAGAGAAATTACAGAAGGAACTACAGAGATACCTCACTCGAAAGATTGGCTTTGAGGCAGTCATGAGGATTCGGTGCACGAAAGGTGGGACTTTTATTTTTTAACATATGCATAGAAATGTTGCTTTTGATACCAGTAAATACACATTTTCAGCTAGTCTTATTTCATGTTTGCTCTTCTAAGATATTTTACTTACACTGATGGAATATGCAGTTAATAATAGATAAGGGGTGCCTTGCTTGTTCAGTCGGTAGACCATGGGACTCTTGATCTCAGGGTTATGAATTCAAGCCAACATTGGATGTGGAGCCTAGGTGAAAAAAAAAAGAATGGAGAAGAAACATTATAAAACGGGACTCTTTTGAATATACCAAAAGCCACTGAATTGTACACTTTATGTGTAATTTTTATAAATTTTTTAGTGTTTGTTTTTGAGAGAGAGAGAGAGGGAGGGAGGGAGGGAGAGAGGGAGAGATTGTGAGTAGGAGAGGGGCAGAGAGAGAGGGAGACACAGAATCTGAAGCATGCTCCAGGCTCTGAGCTGTTAGCACAGAGCCCAAGGTGGGGCTCGAACTCACAAACCGTGAGATCATGACATGAGCTGAAGTTAGAGGTTTAACCAACTAAGCCATCCAG